AATGTTAATTAAGCTCAGGGGGACTCCTTGTGTACTTAAGAGTTTGTTATGTGCTTCAGCACTTTGCAGTATCAAGATGTGAAGCTGGCAGTGGATTCCTTCCCATGGTTTGCCATCAGACCCAGAGCTGATGAGACCACATGGTGGTCAGGCCACAGTGCTTGTTCATACACAAGCTTTTGAGTGAGTTTTGTCTACAGAATATCTACCCCAGCTTTAGCCACTGGTCCTGGGTCTGCAGCAGAGCTCTTGCCATCCCTATCCCACCAAAAGGGTCGTGACTGGTATGAACAACTCCCTGCCGTGCAGCACATGAGCTCTCCGACTTTGCCAACCTGGACGCAACAATGAACCCCATGATGTTTTTTCTAAGGACAAATCACTTTCCAAAACTGCTAGGAAAAGAGTGAAATAGGATTGGAGACGACAGAAGGATGGTCCAACTGCTAAGATGGGACAGAGACAGCATTGCCACCACTTACATGTGACTTTCCACCCAAGAGTTGGTTGGTGCACCACAGAAGCAGGTAGGTGGTAGAGAGGGGAGGGCAAAGAAAATTATAGACCCGATTCCTGGAAAAATGTTAGAACAAATCATTTAACAATTGCTAAGTATCAAGATGATAATTAGGTGATATATACCCAGCAACCACTGCCAAGAACAACTTGCATGGACCAATCTAATTTTGTTCTGTGACAAGATAACCAACCTAGCAGACAAGGAGAAAGACACATTTGCGATATATCTTGAGTACAACTCTGGCCAGTGTCCCACACGGTATCTTCACGAGCAACTGAAGGAAAAATGGTCTAGATGAAGTCACAGTAAAATTAAGCACTGACCCAACAGTCCCTTCAGTGTACCTAGAAACACTGCACCTCTGGAATATGAAATTACCCTCACCCTTTCAAATCTGGCTTTTAATGTCCAGGGCACAGTAAGGTTAATAAAAGCAGTGTTAAAGATTTCCTGGCTTGTGGCATTTTAATTCAAGCTATTTGAATTCCCTGACCTTTATGCCTTCCTGTGTTTAGCAGGTTTTGTTCATTTTCCCCACAAAAAGACGGTTTGGGGAAGATAGGCTGAACATGGTAGAGAGTGCATGTTGCACACATCAAAATCGTAAGAATTCAGGGTTTAACTCCTACTGCTGTACAGTGTTTGGTCTCTGTTTACTTTAAATGTGTTTCATTACTTAAAAAAAATCTTTTGAAGTCGTGCCAATCTTTTTCATTTCTCAGGTTAAAAGATAAAAACAAAACAAAACCCCCAACAACTTGCTACTACCTACTTTCCAACTTCTCCATGCAACACCAATGCACAGCTGAAACCCAGAGAAACTCCTACAAGGAAACAGGGAAACACTTGGTTTTACATGAATTTTTGGGAGCAGAAGAAGGACGTGAAATGCAGATGCTGCTGGAGAAGGTCATAACTTACAGCTGCAAAGCAGGGACATGCCTTACGCCTCCACTTCCCACTCTTCACTGTTCTTCAGTGCCTGTGGGATGACACTGTCAAGCCCCAAAACTGCTATACTGCAAGTAATCATGGTGGTCTTCCTTGTGACACATCTTAGGGTACTCCCTGGTTAAGGCTACAGAACACTTGAGCTTTGCTAAGCATGACCTCTCTTTCCTGCCAACAATTTCTGATAGGGGGAAAAAAAAGTATTCTTGCTTTTTTTACAAAAAATCCTGGATATCCAGCAACACCATCAAAAGCAGAGTTTGAACCTGTTTTCTGACACCCAGGAGTCCCAGGCAAACCAAATTCCTCCACAAACTGCCTCTGGGATTCCTCCCAAAACTGCTGCAAATGGAGCCTGTGGATCTCTCCAATTAGGCTGGTCAGCAAGGGCAACTGACACAGGCCCGATGATGGGCTGTAAGTCCATCCATCATCACATCAACCCAGGGCCAAGGGAAGCACCTTCAAGTAATTAATCCTTCCCAGCCTGGGCAGTGCATTTGGATTGAGCAGGGAGGAAACTCAGCCAAGATGGACAGATGGGTATTAGGAGAGAGGACACCCTCTTGGTAGTATCACCCTTTATTAAAAAACAAAACAAACAAAAAAACCCAACATACAAAATCTGAGCCCCCTTTTCTTTGCTCTCTTTCAGGAAATTAAAGATTTCAAATACGAAGTCGCCAGCAGTTCTTCTTTTCTACATCCCACCCTGCGACCACTTGCTGTGACAGGCCTCCAGCTCCCTGGCTGAGCTGGGGCTGCCGAAACCTGCTTTTTCTTTGTATGTGACTTCCATGCCAATTTATTACCGAAAGGCTACAAAGCAGTGCCACCCCCATCACCTTTATTGTTGCAGGATCTCAGGGTTTTCTGTTGGATGCCTGAATATTACTGCTGGACCACACACTACTGTTGGACAGTAACTATCTGCAGGGATGCAGGAATGCTGTTTTTATTTATTTATCAGATATAAAAAGAAAAAGAGGTTTAGAGCACATGCAGAACATGTCCATCAAGGTCTGCCCCCCTCTGTGAGCAGACATACGTACGCCGGCAGGAAGGCCACGCTCTTTTGTTCCAGCCATACCATGATCTAATACAGCAGGCAGTTTTTTCTTAGCAAGCAAGTCATCCATCTTTCAGAAGCAGGAGGCAGATGATTAGTGTTGCATTACAGTCTCCTGACAATTAATTAATGACAATATTTGGGGGTACTACAACAAAAGACATCCAGCACGTGTTGCTCAGTCTCCCATGGCAAAGGGCCATGGGGAGATACACAGGTTCAGATGAACATCTCTGATTTGAGACACACAGAACGGAGAAGAGTTTCTCCAAGTTGCCCTCTGCCAACACAATCAGGTTCCCTCCCTTGCAATCCTTTCCACAGGGACGCCTAGCCAAGGGACCAACTCGGTATTTAGCAAGTCCGCAACCAATTTTGGCTTGCTGGGAAAAATCAACCCTGGTGGACCTTGGTCCATTGCAATGCCACCCAAGATGACCTGTGCATGCATGAAGGGGAACCCAGCACTCAACTCCAAGACATAAGCCAACATGTTAACAGGGTCCAGCCAGGCAGCCGACAGACCGTGGCTGTCTTGAGAAAGCTGATGTTTCTATATCAGCTGCTTTTTGCAATCCACTGAGAGTGGCTTCAGCATCACATCGGTAACCGCCAAACGATGGACAAGGTGGGCACAATAAGGTATCTCTTCAAATATTTAGAGATTGCAAGTGTCTTGAATTGTTCTGTGCATTTGCATTAAAAATAGTGGTCCTTTCGTACAGCACAATAAGTATCCATGATTTTTTAACCTAAACTACAATGCACCGAGATTCATCATTTGTCTAGTCCTCATTTCAATTCTCTTTTCTTATGGTTCTTTCATTGTGCCCAAGTATCCCATTCTTCCTTTCTTTTATGCTTTTAATTTTGCCTTGTAGAATAGCCTAAAAATCACTATTTGGAACTGAACAGACAACTTGCCCTTACTTCAATACCTTTTCCCTGTTCAAAAAAAAAAATCATAATTATACCCAAACTCATAAGAAAACAGAAAACCAAGACAAAACTGTATGCTTCTTTTATATTTCCATCCAGGGGGAACTGCTATTTTCAAAACAACAGAATGTTTCCTGAACAACATTTGCAGCCCTCAAAACTTGAAAACCAAGTCAGGCTGTATTAATGAACAGCCCAGCCGAAATCAAAGGCAATTTAAGAGAGGAGTGATGTTCTTCCCTGGAGCAAAGCGATAACACAGCCCTTTGCCATGTTACAAGATCTCCTTTCCTGATGCTTCTGCAGAGGTCTGAACTCTCAGTTGTGTCTACACTGTAGCCACTGCAGCCTTACCCTGCAGGGCAAGCCAGACCCAGGACACAAATTAAATGCAAGAACATGCTCCAGCTAACAAGCCTTGCTGAAAGCCAGACTAGATTAACCCAGATCAAGCCCTACAGCAATTGCCCATCTGGATTGGGATCCAGCGCACATCTGGACAGCTAGAGATGTGGTCTTATCTGCCCATGCCCACAAGGGCTGGCCTCTTGAACAGCAGCTCAGAAGTGGGCAGGATGAGACCTACCTTCCACCTCCGTGCACAAGCCAGCCCCATGTCAACAGGGACAACTGTTGCACTACCCAGTGTTCTTCTGGCAAAGGACGCCTCCTACAACTTGCCTGTGTCAAGAAGGGGACACAGTAGAGTCAATGCCTTCAACACACAAAAGCAGGAGGTTATAATCATTAGCTGCACTCCATGTTATGACAGGGACATTATGAATTTGCTTTTATGAAGCACAGCTTTGACTTGCACATTTAGGACCATTTCACATACACACGTTGACAGCTGGATGCTTTTCTCTCTCTACTTTAGCATTTCTAGAGTCCTTTGGGGCAAGGGGGAACAGGTAAGTAAAGCACATCTGGTCTTTTCTTAAAAACATGCCACAAAAATAGAATCCATAGTCATTTGCAAGACCCTGTTTATGGTTTCAGCATTTCCCGAGCAAGTTTTTGACCTTGCTGCCATATCCAAGCACATTTCCCAGATTCAAGCAGCCTCCACAGCAGTTAAGTTACCCTCTGTAGAAGCACAGCCCGCTGCCCTTTGCACATCTTCCTATCTACTCCAATCATCTGTGTGCCTACAGCCAGCCACAGAGCAACCATTTGGACAAACTTCTTGCAAAGGTGACCGGTAGATAAGGAAAGTCATGAGCAGGTCTAGAGAATATACTATGTTTCTTCTTGTAATCCCCTCAAAAAACCTCCAAAATCCTCATCAGCGCTGTTCTTCCACGTTGCAGCCTCAAGTCCTGAGCATGGTAAGACGTGGTGCCTCACCATCCAAACTGAACTCAACAAAAGTTTGGGTTTCACCTTTGAAAATCACTGTCAGAAATGACCTCTGGAGATAATGTTGTATTTATACATCAGCCACACTGAACATGAGCAAGTAAAACTTCAGTCTCCAGAGAGTCAAGTAGAATAAATTACAGCAAGGGATCAATACCTTACCAAGGGGTTGATAGCCTTGTCTCGAAGGGCCTCCAAATGGATTCCTGCTCCCAAATCCACTCCCATCAATGGATCCATAAGACATTTTCTAGACAGCAACAGATGTCGGATTATACTTCAAACCTAAGAAAACGGAAAAAGACAGATACAACACTGTTAAAAGTCAGTTAAACCCCAGTATTCTAAGAAAAAAGGGGGAAAAAAAGGCAAATGAAAAAAAATACAGGACTATCTCCAAATTTCAGGATGCCCACCTGCAAAAAATAAAAGCACTAAAATCCAGGTCTCCTGGACTACCACTGATCTTGGGGGCAAACGAGTTATTTGACTTCCCTGTGCCTTACCTTCTCCGGTGACAAAGGGAGACCATTTATCTGATTCAGCCACGGCAAGACTTTTAATTCCTCACTGTTCACAAAGTGCTTTGAGATCCTGAGCTGGTAGGCAAAGACTAGGCACTTGATCAAAACAAAGGTAATGCTGTCTTCTGGAACATTACCACTACGCAGCTAGCTAGAAGTCTATCCATCATACTGCAGTCTTGATGAGCTCTCAAAAGAGACAGTTTACTGCTATATTACAAGCTCCTGGGACTCTAGTATAAATAGTGGAGCTGGAGTTATTTCTCCTTGCTGGTTGGGAAAAAAAAAAAAAGCTGTAAGGCCTGCAAGGCCTAAGGTAGTAAGGTACCAGCAGCAGGATGAAATCAATGCAGCACTGCCAGAGAAAGACTATTTCTTCCCCCTTCCCACCTCCCCATCCACAGGTGTTGTCTCACCATGGGCCCCAGGTACCCTCCAGCATATCAGCAAAGTCCCAGTACTTTGATATTAAAACTGGTTCAAACCTAAGGCATGGAGATGATGACTGCAAAGGAAGAGAAGAGATAAAGGTTCTGTGTCAGTTGGGGCATGATACAGGAACAAACCTGGCTGCTGCTTCCTTACACCAAGACTATGAAAAAATGTTCCAAACAGGGAAAATCCGGAGGCTGAGGATAGAGACTTATTCCCCAAAAAAAGACGACAACACTGCCTACAGCGTAGCCCTTCACCAGGCAGTGATGGTGCAGTGTAGCAGCATGGGAGAGTCCAGTGGAGAGAACACACTGGTATGAGATGACTAGGAATACCACCTGCCCTCCATGTAGGGAGTTGCTCTGTCTTATAAATGTTACTTGTAAACTGAAGGAAAAACAAAAAATTTGGGCCAACAAACCATCCTCTCCAACGAGCATGTGCAATCCCTTCAGTGCAATGGCAGTACCACAGAATCATCGAACAGTTTGGGTTGGAGAGGTCATCTAGTCCAATCTCCCTGCAATGAGCAGGGACATCTTCAACTGGATCAGGTTGCTCCAAGCCCATCCAAACTGATCTTGGATGTTTCCAGGGAAAACCCTGGAAACCACCTCTCTGGGCAACCTGTTTCAGTGTTTCACCATCCTCATTGTAAAATATGTCTTCCTTACATCTAGTTGGAATCTACCTCTTTTAGTTTAAAACCATTACTCATTGTCCTATTGCTACAAGCCCTGCTAAAAAATTTATCCACATCTTTCTTATAAGCACCCTGTCGTCATTTCAGCCCAGTCGGTAACAAAGCACCACGCAGCCACTTGCTCACTCCTCCCTCTCCAGCTCTGGTGGGATGAGGAGAAAATATAAAGAAAAGCTCGTGGGTCAAGACAAAGACAGGGAGGGATAGCTCACCACTTACGGTCATGGGCAAAAACCAGACTCAACTTGGGGAAAGACCAAAATCAGTTTAAAATAATACCAATCAAATCAAAACAAGGAACAAGGATAATGAGAAGTAAAACCAAACCTGAGAACAGCTTCCCCCCACCCCTCCCTCCTTCCCAGCTCAACTCCACTCCCAGTTCTCTCTACCTCCTCCCCCCTGCGTCGGGGAATGGGGGTTGGGGTCGGTTCCTCACACGGTGTCTCTGCCGCTCCTTCCTCCTCAGGGGGAGGACTCCTCACTCATCCCCTGCTCCACTGTGGGGTCCCTCCCACGGGAGATATTCCTTCACAAACTTCTCCGGTGTGGGTCCCTTCCCCAGGCCGCAGTCCTTCAGTCCCAGTCTGCTCCAGCACGGGCTTCCCCAGGGAGCGGCGGACATCTTGGGGGGCATCCATACCCCTGCTCCACCGTGGGGTCCCTCCCACAGGAGACAGTCCTTCACGAACTTCTCCAACATGATCCCTTTCCGCGGGCTGCAGTTCCTCACAAACTTCCCTGGGGTGGGTCCTTTCCCCGGGCCAACCTTCAGTCCCAGCCTGCTCCAGCGCAGGCTTCCCCATGGAGCGGCGGCCATCTTGTGGGGCATCCATCCCCCTGCTCCGGCATGGGCTCCTCTCTCCCCAGGCTGCAGGGGGGCATCTGCTCCCCCACTCCCCTCCGTGGGCTGGGGGGGGACAGCCTGCTGTCTGGTCTCACCACAGGCGGCGGGGGCATCAACCTCCTGCCCTCCTTCCTCACTGACCTCAGGATCTGCAGAGAGGCTCCTCTCACATCCCAATCCCCTCACTCACTGCAGGTTTCCCCTCTTAAATCTGTTCTCCCACAGGTGTTTCCACTGTCACTGACGGGCTCGGCCTGGGCCACAGGTGGGTCCGACCTGGAGCTGGGGAAGCTTCTAGCAGCTTCTTACAGGAGCCACCTCTGCAGCCCCTTCCCCGCTACCAAAAACCCCGCCACACAAACCCAAAACACCCCCTTTAAGTACTGAAAGGCTGCAATAAAGTCTCCCCAAAGCCTTCTTTTCTCCAGACTGAACAACCCCAACTCTCTCAGCATTTCCGCATAGGAGAAGTATTCTAGCCCTCTGATCATTTTAGTGGCCCTCCTCCGGACTCACTCGAACAGGTCCATGTCTTTCCTCTACTGAGAAAGATGTTGGGGTGTAAGGCTGGATGACATGAGACGCTCCATCCTGGGCTTGGAAACTGTGTTGGTTTTGACTGGGATAGAGTTGATTTTCTTCACAGCAGCTAGTATGGGGCTATGTTTCAGCCTTGTGATGAACATAGTGTTGATAATACAGGGATGTTTTCGTTACTGCTGAGCAGTGCTTACACAGAGCCAAAGGCTTTTTTGCTTCTCACCCCACCAGCGAGGAGGCTGGGGGGGGCACAAGAAGTTGGAAGGGGACACAGCTGGGACAGCTGACCCCGACTGACCCAAGGGATATTCCAGACCATAGGACGTCGTGCTCAGCATATAAAGCTGGGGGAAGAAGAAGGAAGAAGGGAACATTCGGAGTGATGGCGTCTGTCTTCCCAAGTCACCATTACATGTGATGGAGCCCTGCTTTCCTGGAGATGGCTGAACACCTGTCTGCCCGTGGGGAATTAATTCCTTGTTTTGCTTTGCTTCAGCGCAGCTTTTGCTTTACCTATTAAACTGTTTTTATCTCAACCCATGAGTTTTCTCACTTTTACCCTTCCAATTCTCTGCCCCATCCCACCTGGGGCAGTGAGCGAGTGAGTGTGTGGGGCTTAGTTGCTGGCTGGGGTTAAGCCATGACAGTCCTTTTTGGCACCCAATGTGGGCCTTAAAGGGTTCAAGATAATGACAGATTTGCTTGGAATGCACTAGATCGAATTTATAGCTGTTATTGCTGTTTAGCTATTAACTGGCAGGCTCCTGTGCTTGCCACGGGGCTTGCTTGCCTTACTGTATGTTGGAGTCTAGTGCTCGTTAGTAGCTGCTTTTTCTTTCGCTGCTGCTGTACTCCTGTAGTGCTTATCATCCTACTCTGCTGTGCCTGGGAACATTTTGATAACAGCAATGGTGATGCGCCTGGGCTGGCAGATGGCCAGGGCATCGCTGCTGTTTCTGTGCTGCTGTAATGGACAGGCTGGAACTCCAGTGTGAACTTGAGTTGAAGGGACCGTGACCTATGGATGAGCCCACGCAGCAGCAGGACACCCCGAAGCATCTGTGGCCGTGGTTATGTCTGTGCCACAGAAGCTATACCTCTGAAGGGATTGTGGCCCAGGGAGAAATCCATGTTGGAGAAGGTACACCTTGAAGCATCAGTGGCTGTGCATGAGGCTATGCTGGAGCCCCTCAAAGTGTATGGCCATGGGTAAGCCCACGACAGAGGGACTGCAGCCATGGGTAAGGTCAAGTTGGAGCAGGTTTACTTCTGAAGGGACTGTGGCTGTGGGTAAGGCCATGCTGGAGCAGATATAGCTCTGAAGGCATTGCGGCCCATGGAGAAAACCACGCTGGAACAGGTACACCTCAAAGTGACTGTAGCTGTGGATAAGTCGCTGCAGCAGCAGGTATGCCCCTGGAGAAACTGGCGCATAGATAAGGCTCCACTCGGAGCAGGTATACCCCTAAGGGACTGCAGTCTGTAGATAAGTCCAAGCCGGAGCATGGGCAAGGCGACGACTTCATTGCAACGTTAAACCCTAAGGCTGTCAGTCCAAACCTATGGTAGCCAACCTGCGATAGCCCAAGTAGCCAGAGAGAGGATGAGTGCCTGTATTTGTGTGCATTGAGGAAAAAGAAAATGAAGTAAACAAGGGAAAGTTAAAAGAAACCATCTGCAAACCAAGGATTTCTAAGACTACACCACAACAATGGATCATGTCAAGCATAAAAAACTATAAGCATCACAAAAATGTAATCTATGATGTCTTGATGGAAGTTCTTTGCAACCACTAAACACTACAAGGAACAGATGAAGATTGACTTGGGGAGTCTGCAATGGACTTGGGAACAAATCTTGCCTCTCCCAGGTCTCAGCTTAGCCCACAACTACCACAGTAACTCAACCTCCATTGCAAAATGCAACCCAAGATCTAGCAAGACCCTTACCTGGGAAAATAAGGACACAGAAAAGACAGTTACAGGAAAATCTGTGGGCAGGGATAACTCCTTATTTTCTTTACCTCCCAGCGTGGCTACAGATTAAGACTGCTGTAAGCGGGGAAGTGGGACAACGAAACAGCTTGAAGAACTGCCTCTGTACAGAGGTTGATCCTGAGCCATCCTGTCTTTTTAGAGATACGCAAGTGGAAGCATTTGCTGCCACAACTTCCCCAAGGCCACATACAACAAACGTGG